AAAATAAATGATTGTATAACATAAGATATATATGAAGCTATAAATAAATTTAAAACATGGGGCCCCTGGGTGGCTCAGTCGGTTAAGGGTCTGCCTTTGGCTCAGGTCATGATCCCAGGGTCCTGGGATCAAGCCCCACATCGGGCTCCCTGCTCGGCAGGGAGCCTGCTTCTCCCTCTCCCACTCCCCCTGCTTGTGTTCCTTCTCTCGCTGTGTCTCTCTCTGTCAAATAAGTAAATAAAAATCTTTAAAAAAAAAAATAAATAAATTTAAAACATGGATGGGATCAGGACCATTGCATGTGCAACTTACTTCCTATTACTGACTACTCTTTCCATGCATTTTTCACATGGAGGCGTCCTTCACATCTAGCAAGAAATGCCACTTTCTGTGAGACCTCTGACTACCTATCTTAAGTAGGTGCTCCTCTATTATTCTTCTATCTGACCTCCTTATTTTATAGCATTTATCACAATTGTTAATTTCTTATTTGTATTAGCCTACTCCACGGAAGTGTAAGCTTCACGAGATATGGGACAAAATATATCTTACCTTTCATTGTATTCACAGCACCTAACAGACATGTAATAAATATTATTGAATGAATTCCCTACTTAGGCAGGACATTTTTTTTTGGTAACACACATAATTTTTAAATCCTAAGACAAAAAATAAAAGGTCCCTGAATTTGCAGACTAGAACAATACCCTAGACGGCTCAAGTCTTACCTTAACTATAAGCTAGCTGTGACATTTTGCAAGTCTCTTAAAATTTGGGGGCCTCATGTCACATAATTTGAAAGACAAGGAGGTTGGATCAAATGAGCTCTTAAGATTCTGCATGGCTCTAAGAGTTTTGATTTTATAACATATATTTTTAAGTATTAGGTGATAATGGCACAAAACAACACAAAATTGAATAATCATTCACTTTTTGAAAGTCAAGCCAAGCATTAAAACCAATAGTAACATTACTTGCTCTTCATGCCACTGAGTCATAAATAACATGCTTGGCGTACTTTCCCATAAACTACTTTCTAATTCAGTAGTCAAGGATCATAAATCAGGAGAAGATTGATATTATTTCCATTTGAATAAATATGCTTTAGAAGTAATGAGTAAAGTTATGTATACTAGAGTGACACTCTGTGTTGTATTAAAATTATACCATTTCAAGTGGTTGGTTTTATTCCTTTTACTCTATTTTTTTTTAAATATAATTCTACAACAGCTACATTTCAGTTGAGACCTGCATCATTTATATAAGTTAAAACTCAACTCGTTAGTTTGAATTTAATGTCACATAAAAACCATTCTTTAAGTTTATTTTTCACTTTAGATTATTCAATTATAGGAATCAAAGCTATCAAGTGATTTCTTACATAATTTATTTTTTCCCTGTTACTATAAAATGTTTTAGAGCCATTTATGTTAAACTCAAATTTAAAGGTTTTAACTTTAGCTCCTTATTATGTTGTATTTCAACAGAACCACTAATGCTTTCTGTTAGGTAAAAATTCAGCATAATTGCAGTAATTTAAGAGTGTAGATATCTAACTTATAGGATAGTTTTAGCATTTGTTAAGAACTGTAGTTCTGTTTTATTGTTTTATTATTCCAATTAACAGTATATGAAGCTAAAAAAGTATTGTCCAGTAAAAAAATTGTAAATCTATTTCTAAAACTAGATTAAAATTGCTTTCAATTATATAAGTGTATTTAAATATGTATGTAGATTTATACACATACATACACCAAAAAAGGAAATGTTTATGAATTATTAAGAAACTGAAAAGCACAAACATTTTCAGTAGAAAATAATTTCAGGTTATTTGTTTAGCAAAATATTTTAACATATAAGTCAAAGACAAACTTCAACCCTACTAATAGCTAAATTAATGAGATTTCACAATTACTGCTTAGTTATATAAATGTACTTAACATTTTCAAGATTACGCCATGAAGCTAACAATAAAAACATCACAATAACAAAGGGTTAACAGAATTTGGGTTAAACAGGACTCATCCCCTGAACTGCTTGACACACTTATCCCTTTTAACTGACTCTCATAAGAACACTTAAAATAATAAGATCAAGCTGTGATTAAAAAGACATATGCTGTGGAGTCAGGAACTCATGCATTTTTTTACCACTGACTAGGTATGTAATTGTAATTTTTTAAAATTCTCTAAGTCACACAGGTAAAATACAGGCAAATACACAAAAGGCATAGTGAAGATAACATTCAATGTGGTAATATATATAAAACATCCAGATAACATGTGGAACAGAATAAGAACTCAATAAATGTTATTTCCCACATATCTACCACCCTTTAAGCGCCTCTCCTATATCCCCATTCTCATTTCCTGATAAATATAAATAGGTGTAGGAGAGTGGGTCACATTCATTATGTAGATGAAGAGTCAAAGATTTGAGTCAAGAAATATAGCAAAAAATCAAAGAATCTCACAATTTCTAGATTAAGATAACACTTAAAGATTGTCTCCTCCAACAACGTATAGTCAGACATGCTAGTGAGAGGGTCAGGCATCTAATGGTCTTTCTTTATACCCACTAAATTTTAAAACAGGAGTCATTTATAATGTATGCATTTACAAAACTGTAAAAAGTAAAACTACTTGGTCATCTGTAAACATGTGAAGAAATTATTCCCAAACACCGAAAAGCAAAATATATTTCTTTTTTTGAATATCATTTTTTTGAATATCATCAATGGTTGATAAATTTTATTTTTGATCCAAATAGAATCTTCTGTTGATGCAATACTGAAATTTTCCAGATTTATTAAGGGAATGCCCAGAGCAACTCAAATTTTCCTGTTCTCATCTTTAAAAAGCTCATAGATTCCAATATAATATTTAACGCCAAGTTATAATAAGGAGTCATAGTATAAGTGGGAGAGGTAGGCCTCTAATATTTTGAGCTCTGTAATAGAATAGATGGTGTTGCCATTCACTGAAATAAGGAATACTAAGAATGAATTGGGTTAAGCTGTATTGAGATTTTTAATTCAGTCTTAGACATGGGAAATTTAGGGTACTTCTAAGACATCCAAGAAGTCATGTCAAGTAGGCAATTGACCACATGGCCATTGAGTTCAGAGGGAAAATCTGAGCAAGAGTAACAAATGTGGGTCATCTTCAGGAAACCACCTAGAGAGAGAATACAGAGAGGGGAGTAATAAAGCCTAGGGCCATTCCTCAAATAACTCCAAAATGGATTGGCTGAGTGGAGGAGAATGAGTTTATAAAGGAGTTGCCAGAAAGACAGGCAAAAGATCTGGTCCCAAATACCAAGGGAAAAGAAGAAACATGTAGTCAACAAAATCAGATCCTGAGAGGAGGTCACGTAAGATACTTGTTAAATTTAGCAATGTATAGGTCATTGGAGATCTTACAGATACCTATTCCAATGGTGATGGGGCAGAAGCTAGATATATGTGGGTTGAGAACTAAGTGGGAGTTGAACAAATGAGCAAGCATAATTACTCTTAGCACAAGTATGACTAAAAAAACAGAAGACAAAGGCAGTTGGGGGAAAATATGAATACAGAAGGGTTATCCGGGGTGGAAATGGTTTTTAAGAGTCAAGACATAAGCATATTTAAAAAGTGAGCACTGGACTCAATTAAGAAGAAAAGATGAACATAATATGACAAATAATGTAAAATTTCTGAGAAAGTATGAGATGACAAGATACAAAAAACGGGCCCAAGAAGTAGACTTAGGACAAGGAGCAGTTCCTCTAAGGAATCAAGTACAGAGAATGGGTACAAATGCAGTGGATGTGCATATCTAGTCATAGAAAATAACAGAATTACAACCTGATGATTCTAATTTTTCTGTAATGTAGAAGAGGTCTATCCGCTGTCTATAATGGGGGAGATGAGAGGATCAGAGACTTGAGAGAAGTGGAGAATATTTGAGATGTTATATAGAAAGAGCAAGTATAGACCAGAGAAATCCGACACATCACAATTTCCTTAAGAATCTTGCTAAACCAAGCCAATTATGAGAGAATGATAGCAAGAAATTCATACGCTCCAGTCAGTAGAGAAACCATACTAGTTATATCTGTTGGAGATGCCAGCAATAACCGAAGCCAAAACATAGATTTTAAATTATAGATCAAAATGTAAACGTTAAAACAGCAGAAAACATAATTAGTGAAAACAACCCAAGTAAGAGGATCCAGTAGGATATTTACAGATCCAGAAGTCAGCAAGAAAAATGAAAGTAAGACAAAACAGCACAGCAAATCTTTTTTTTATTTTGATTTTTTATTGTTATGTTAATCACCATATATTACATCATTAGTTTTTGATGTAGTGTTCCATGACTCATTGTTTGTGCATAACACCCAGTGCTCCATGCAGAACGTGCCCTCTTTAATACCCATCACCAGGCTAACCCATCCTCCCACCCCCCGCCCCTCTATGTGGTATATATATACAATGGAATATTATGCAGCCATCAAAAGGAATGAGAGCTTGCCATTTGCAACGATGTGGATGGAACTGGAGGGTGTTATGCTGAGCGAAATAAGACAATCAGCACAGCAAATCTTAAAGGGATTTTTATAAGTGAAGCAGATTGCTATTTTCTCTAGGTGTGTTTGCTTCCTTCTAACACAGAGAAGCCAATTTTAGATAACACTAATCTGCCACTTTCTCAACAAGGAATGCACAGTGAAATCTGGTGGACACTGATAAGGGGAATAAAGACAATTTTTAACAGGATTTTTCAGAAAATAGTTCAAACTGTTAAAACATTGAGACATGATCAGTCCACTATATTGACAAAGCCCAGATCATTTTTCCAGAGTCCTAGAAAGTAACTCAATGACACTAAGTTTTACACTGAAAATGAAATTTCAGCTTCTAGAAATTTTACATCCATGATAACATGTAACTGAAGTATTCTGTAAAATTAAATCAATTAAACTTTCTTCCTGCAAATTATTTTTGTTTTACTCACTCAGACTTCTTTTCATAGGTCTTAGAAGATTCCTCAATTCTCTTCTCTAGCTCCAAGACAGCCTCCTCCTTGTTTAAAAGCATCTGCTGTGTCTGCATAAGTTCCTCTGCTAAAGTTTTCAACCTAGAATGAACAGTTTCCTCATTATAAATCAGTAAGTTAGTTACATTCACTTTATGCACACACCCTGAGCATTCATACATCTAAGATGGTGATGTCCAAAACGGTAGCCACATGTAATTTAATTTAAAATAAAGTAAAATTTCAGTTCCACCCCTAGCAATAGGAAAAAACTGAAAATAAATGCCCATCTATAAATAACTACATTAAATTTTATTACATGTAAGCATTAAAACACTGTTCACTATATTTCATATATATTAAGAAAAGAGGATAATGCAAAAAAGTATGCATAGAATAAGCCCATTTAAGTCAAGAAAACAATTTATATACATGGATATGCTTGTATATACATTCTGGAAAGATACATGAACTTTTTTCACCAATTAACACAGGAAGGTACAAATGGGATCTATAAAAAGGAAAGCTTTGATTTCCACTGTACCCCCTTTTGTAAGGTTTTATGGATTTTATCATCTGCAAGCATTAGCTGGATAATTTTTAAAGACTTAATGTTATTTAAAGACACAAAAGCCAAAAACAATTGTAGATAGTAACAAGTTTTCAGTACTTATACAGAAACTTTTCTATCCTCAAACCATTGGCCATCATTATCTAAATCTTATAGCACTCTTGCAGAAATGTATCTTCCTAAAAATCCATACATTATAAACTTCCAATACTGTCACATTCATTGTGACATTTGGGCTAATTAAAAAAATAAAAAAACAGAAAAGGGTTACAGTTGCCTCAAGTAATTTTTCTGACATCTCTTTTTCTCTATGACTGCAACATAAATTGAAGAAAAAAAACATTTCTTATGATCTCTTTCTTAAAATATAATTGCAGCAGCATAGCAATTTATGGGTGACCTTCTACACCATGACACAAATCTTTATTAGCTTTTCTCAAGATTAAACAGAAAATAGCTCCTAATCAACCAAACAAAAGTTATGAGTTTCTACTAAATATATTTATCTCCTAAACACACAACCTAATCCACCCCAACCAACAAATCCAGCTGCCTTCTTCTGTGTGACTTTTTTGTGTCTCTTAATCACAATATCCTTTTAACATGTCACCTGCCTTCTAATATTTCACATATTTCCAAATCTTTCCCAGTCACTCATTCAAACCAAATACCAAACTTGAACTAAGACTATAAATGAGAACAGCAAAAAACAAACTTGATAAAACGACAGTCCTGCTTAAAATGTGAGAGTACTGCATTATTTATTGTTCCACTGATTGACAAGGTTGATTCAGACAGCCTAATGGGTTAAATTGGCAGCATTCCCTACAATAGGACTCAGCAGACATTTTCTGTAAAGGTCTAGAAAATAAATATTTTAGGCTTTGCCATCAAGAGACAAAATCAAGGATATTACGTAGGTACTAACATAACAAAGAGAAAACAAATACAAATATCTCATTGAAAAATTCAAAATATAATAATAATTGGGTACAATTCATCGTAACACCGGTGTATTAATGAGGACAGAAATCTTTTGAAGGTAATAATTTTTCCCTTCATTGGGGTTCAAAGTTAGTGCTCATCATCAAAATCAAATGTAAATGTTCATTTGTTAAAGCAGATATATAATGAGATTTCATGTATTTCATCTTTGAAAGGATCTTTTCACATAGATGGATACTGCCAAATATCAATAACAATCATAAGCATATGACTTTGAGTATATTTACAGCTTAGAAGGCATTTATAAAATTACATTGCATGCTTTTTAGCATGTCATTACATTGCAGACTCATCACTCCTAACTGAAAGTTAGGTGGGAACTCCTTAATTGCACAGTTGAATGGATTTTTGAAATGCTGAAATACTTGTACAGAGGTCCAAAACTCACTGTTAGAAATGTAGTTTGAGCTTAGAAAATACATCAGCTACAAATTTGGTGGGAATGGTAATCTTGCTTCACGTTTTAATGTTTGATGGCACAGGAAGTATATACAATAGCCTGCCATTACCTGGGATTCAAGTAACATTAGTTGTCATCTAAATGATTTTTACTACAGTATAAATTCTGCATATAAGCACTGTATTATCTTGTAATTTTAGGTTGAATATATTAGGAAAATATTCAAGTCTTTAGCACAAGCTAATTTTTCTGAAGCTTTTGGAATTCAGTGTTGAATAACAGTGGTTGAGGGAAATTCTGATTTAGAAAAATTTCAGTCTTGGCTCTGACATCAAAAAAAAAAAAATCACAATAAAACTTTACTACTTCTAACTTATCAAAATCCTACAAGATAGGGCAAGTGGGGACATTCAATTTCAATTTTTGACAAAAAATTCATGGAACTGATGATGGTCAAGTCCTTGAGAGCAAATGAAGGCCATTACTGACATTATTAGTTTAAGAACACATGTTTAGATTCAAATATTTTTCCATGAAGTGCCTCCTTATGAAAAATACAATGAATAATCATACTAGGTAAACACCTAACATTTTCACAAGCTTTGTAAATTTGTTCAACTAAGCCTCTTTCTGATCCACACATTTTTAACACCATCATTTGTAACACTTCAGTTTGTATTGAATTAGTGTTTTCTCGATCTCTTTGAAAATATTCTTGTCTGTAGTTGAGCCACAAAAACTATTCCTAGAGAGAAATTCTTCAGTCACGTCAGACTTGGCATTGACTCCTCAAACAAACAACTGAGCAGTTTTGATCACACCTGCTGACTTATCAAGAGACAGGGAAAGCCACTTGAAATCATTTATTTTTTAAATTAACTAAAGAGGTAGCTCCCAATCTTCTCACTCTTCAAGTGAATGTTCTCACTGAAAGACTAACAGACTACAGACTAAGTTTATTTTCTCTAGACATATTTCCTATTTCCTTAGTTACCACAGTGAAACACTAATTCACCAGTGGTAAATGCCTTTCCCTGTTCAGATAACAAATGAGCCACCCAGAAACTTATTTTGGTTGCATCCTCATTTTCGTATTTTTCTAAAAAAAGTCTGCTGTGCTGAGGTATTCCATTTAAAAATTTTTTTAAAGATTTTATTTATTTATTTAAGAAAGAGAGAGAAAGAGTACGAGCAGGAGCAGGGGGAGGGGAAGCAGACTCCCCGTTGAGCAGGGAGCCCGACACGGGGCTCGATCCCAGGAACCTGAGATCATGACCTGAGCTGAAGGCAGACGCTTAACCGACTGAGCCACCCAGGTGCCCCTCCATTTTAAATTTTATAATTTTTCTCACTAGTGCTCTCCTGCAAGTTGGTAATACTGAAATGAGTATTTAGACTGGTAATGTCAACATATATTGTATCATTTAGCACCGCCATAGTGTCATTACATAATAAACACAATACTTTGCCATCTAATTGAATAACAAAATAATCCACACTCTACTGTGTCTTATCTTGATAAGCACCGAGTAATATATAGAATTGTTGAATCACTCTATCGTACACCTGAAACAAATATAACACTTATATGTTAATTACACTGGAATTAAAATTTAAAAAATTTTAAAAGGTGTAATATTCAAAATCTATTCTCTTTTTTGGTTTTGACATGATTAGCATGGGCTGATAACAAAAAGCCATTCAAATGCTGTAATAGAGCAATATGTGCGGCACTCAAAATGCTACTGAGTTAGAACAATGTCCCTAGGATCTGTAATGCACGAAGCAGCAGTGTGACGTGAAGGGAATGCCATCTATGGTCTCTGTCACAAATGCTCAACTCTGTCATTGTAGCAAGAAATCACCCATAGACCCACCCATGGACAATAGATAAATGAATGAGCATGGCCGTGTTCTAATAAACCTTTATTTATGTACTCTGATGTTTAAACTTCACATTATGTGTCACAAAATATGTTTCTGTTGGTTTTTTTAAACATTTAAAAATGTAAATAGCATTCTTAGCTTACAGACTCCACAAAAATAAGTAGCAAGCAGGATATGGCCCACAGCCTGCAGTTTGTTAATTCATATCCCATAAAATCCAAAAGAATTACTTTTCCACACAGATAATTACCATTCTTCAATTCTTATTTAGGGGTGTCTGGGTGGCCCAGTCTGTTAAGCATCTGCCTTTTTTGGCTCAGGTCACAAACGGATGCCTCATCTATCCCAAATGTCAAAACCAATGTAATAAACACATATATTCTTCTAATGTTCACAATTTTATAGATCTATCTTCTTCAAGTTATTTTGATGAGCTAAAATTACTGAGCCCCAAATTATTCAATTAAATAGGGATTAGATGAGAGGAAATACTTGCATATATAATCTTAATAAATGGATGATTAAAATCAATATAGTATCTTTTCTAGCATTTGGCAAAGAGTGATTCAAAACAGAGGCAGATGGGGGAAAGGTGATGAAGGGGAAGAAGAGAGGCTGTAGATCACAGAGACAAAAGAAACAACCTCAGATTGCAGCTTGAAGGTAATGCAACTTAAATGCATGTGTGATAGAGGTGTAGAATCTCAGGTGTCCAGTGTTAGAAATTATCAGAGGCTGAGGAAGCAGCCCTCTATGACATCATGATCTACCATGCAAAAAAAAAAAAAAAAAAAAATTCCCCTAAGTAGGAAATAAACAATCCTACAAATACTGAGTTTAAGTCTTCTATATACCACACTTTCATAAATGTAGCTGATACAAATAATGAGAATATGATAAAATGCTTCATGGCACATATTTAGATGGGTAAATGCAGTAACTTTGTCATTTAATATTATTATAACATTAGATTTCCATCAAGCCCTCTTTTGGATATAAATACTAGTTGTGTAATAACGTCAGAACCTCCTACATTTAGCTGAGAAAACTCTACATGATACCATAAGCAGGAACCAAGAATAGAAATTATTAAATATATCAGTAAGTTTCTGCTAATAAAAATGACAATTTGTATGTTACATTTAGGAATTAAAAAAAAAAAAGCCCCCTTCCCAAATTAAAAGGAGTCTTTTTATGAATAGCAAAGTGAAAGATATAACCTTAGGGAAAGGGCATCTA